CAAGACTGACCGTAAAAAGGGGACACTTTTACATCTAATTTTTTTACCATATAGATTTTACAGAACAAGACTGACCGAAAAAGGGGACACTTTTGCAACTAATTATTTTACCATATAGATTTTACAAAACGAGACTGACCGTAAAAAGGGGACACTTTTTCACCTAATTCTTTTACCATATAGATTTTACAAAACAAGACTGACCACAAAAAGGGGACACTTTTGCACCTAATTATTTTACGATATAGATTTTACAGAACAAGACTGACCGCAAAAAGGGGACACTTTTGCATCTAATTCTTTTACCATATAGATTTTACAGAACAAGACTGACCACAAAAAAGGGACACTTTTGCACCTAATTATTTTACCATATAGATTTTACAAAACAAGACTGACCACAAAAAGGGGACACTTTTGCACCTAATTATTTTACCATATAGATTTTACAGAACAACACTGATCGCAAAAAGGGGACACTTTTGCATCTAATTCTTTTACCATATAGATTTTACAGAACAAGACTGACCGTAAAAGGGGACACTTTTTCAACTAATTCTTTTACCATATAGATTTTACAGAACAAGACTGACCACAAAAAGGGGACACTTTTGCATCTAATTCTTTTACCATATAGATTTTACAGAACAAGACTGACCGTAAAAAGGGGACACTTTCGCACCTAATTTTTTAACATATAGATTTTACAGAACAAGACTGACCTTAAAAAGGGGACAGTGTTGCACATAATTCGTTTACCGGATAGATTTTATAGAACAAGACTGACCGCAAAATGGGGACACTTTTGCATATTTTACCGGATAGATTTTATAGAACAAGACTGACCGCAAATAGAGGACACTCTTGAGGGTTAAATCTTTTACCCGATAGATTTTTTTAGAACAAGACTGACCGTAAAAAGGAGACACTTTAGGACCTAAATCTTTTAATTTATACCAGAGTGATCATTGCAGAAAGGGATACTTTTTTTTAGTTTAATTACTTTACACTAAATTTGTTTAGTACAAGACTAATTGTAGAAGAATGCGACATTTTATAACAATGTTTTTAGAAAGTTAGGTTTCATTAAAAAAAACTACCTGCGTAAAAAAATGTGTTTGTAGCTAAATTTTTATGTTACTATTTTTTTAATACAAGACTGTCTGTAAAAAAAATGTCACTTTGTATCTTATTTTTAATAATTTCAATCCAAACAAGGCGATAATGCCACTAAGACGCAAGGGTTTACTGGGAGTGAAAAGAATGAAAGGACTTTAGTGAAGTGAATGTACAATAAAAGTTGATTGGTTGATTTTGTCTAGCGGCATATATATGTATGGGTTACTTAATGCCGAAATCTAAATATTTTGTACGTAATTTGATGCTTTCAACAACAGACATTTTGTACATAATTTGATGCTTTCAGAATAAAGATATGGTTTTTAGATATACAGGGTGTCCATAAAGTTTCTTTACAATTTAAAAAATATATTACAAAAGTAACTTGGTACCACAACTTGATAATCTTCATTGAAACATCGTTTTCCAGGTGCACTAACACGTTGGGACTGCATGTTCGTGGGTGTCTAAATCAAACATTTGCAGACCAGTGGATTGGAAGGGATGGCCCAATTCCCTGGTCACCTCATTCACCAGATATCATTCCCCTGGACTTCTTTTTATGGGATATCGTGTATTAAACAAAAATACGTTAAAGATATCGTGTATTAAACAAAGATATGGGGCATCTCTGATCTAAAGCAAAAGAACACTTATGCCATTGTCACTACCGATGAGGCTATGCTACAATGAATGGGGATGGAGCATTCTTTAAGCCTGTAAAAAGGCAATGATATTTTCACTACACCCTCTCTTTTAGTTCCTTTCAACTCTCGCTTTCAGATGTAGTTG